CGCCGCGGCCGCTCCGCCACCGCTGAGCCTCTCCTACAGCCGCCGCCGCCGTAAAGCGCCTCGCCTGTTACCCGGGGTAAAGTTTCCTGGGCCGGGCTTTACGACATTTCTCTGCCTGCCGGCTGCCGGGGCTAAGGGAAAGGGGCGTGGAGGGAGGTGACCTGTGCAGGGGCGGGGATCGAGGTGTCTCCCGAGGGCTTCCGGGAGGCCTGGGGTAGGGGACAAGGGGTGGGGCCGTGGGCGGGGAAGTTCCCGAGGCCTCTGCGTGTTGGGCTTCCAGCCCCGGGTCTTCGGCCGGGGAGGTACCCAGCCCTAGGGTGGGTGGCGCGGACGCTCGCCGGTCCCCGGCCGCGGCGGAGGATCCCGTCCTGTAGTGTCTGAACCCGGCCGTTTACCACCCACCTCAGCAGCTACACCGTTTCAACTTTTGCCCTGATCTGGGGCGTGGAGATCGGAGCAGCGGTTAAAAATGTAGCAAATCGGGGACTGGATGGGAAAAGAGGAAGTTTAAATCCCAGAGCTGTGAAAATAGCGTTTAGAAAACGAGTGGCCCTCCCGCCACCACTTTGAGACGGGAGACCGGTTACTGGACTTACTGTCCCTCTACCCTCATCCCTCCCTCCAGAAACTGGAGGTAAACGTGACTCAAAGCTGCTCGGCACCTGCACGCGCACCTGGGGAGAGGTGAAAGAGAAAGTGGCAAGGGCTTTAAAAAGCAGGTGCCTAATTTGTGATCACTGTTAGGTTGGGAAGCACCGGGAAAGAGTGGTCCGGATCCAGCACGTGACCTGCGAACAGGTGTGGAAGGACTAGAACTGCACGCACTTGAGCTCGTGGCTTTTCTCCCGTTCGTGTCCCCACTTGGGGGTTTTCAGCAGATCTGAGCTGTGGGACAGGCACGTGTATAACTCATGCACACCGAGCAAATTTGTTACTGAAAACTGATTTATAGAGCTAGTCAGATGCGCCCAAGAAGAGCGTTTTCAAGGATACGCTTCTATGGCTAAAAGTATATGCAACGTTCTGCCATAATCTGAAAAAGAGAAATGCACAAGCCGGGCGTGGTAGTGCGTTTCTAGAATCCTAGCACTCGGGAGGCCAAAGCAAGAGGCTCATGAGTTCATAAGCCTGGGCTGCATAGTAAGACTCCAGCTCTAAATAAGTAATAAATGCAAAAAGTGAGAACTACACTGGCATGGTATTAGAGGAGACATTCAACACTATTAAACTCAAGGGGACGTAGGGCTAGCAAAATTTGTATCTGCTAGGCACTGTTCTATGTGTTTTTATCTGTGTCCCCTGAAAACACATTTACATACGAATAGGCATATAGAGCCTTGTATATTTCAACCTTGTCTGTAATAGGAAAAAAATCCAGCTGCCTATAAATGCAGAAATGATTAAATTTTCTTTTTGAGGTGTTTATGTTGTGTGTGTGCACACTTGTTTGCATGTGTGTGGAGGCCTGAGGTTAATGTTGGGAATCTTCTTTCTTGCTCTTTCACCCTCCTTAAATCCGGATTTTTTAATTAATCCCAGAGCTCTCCAATACGGCTAGCTACAGTAACCAGTTTGCTCCAGGGATGCCAGCGCCACCTTCTGAGGGTGAAATTAGGTGGACCACTGCACTCACCCAGCATTTCCTTGGGTTCTAGGGATTCAAATTATGGCCCTCTTGCTTGCCCAGGAAGCACTATCTACTGAGCCATCTCCACAGCCCTAAATAAACTTTTGATACACAAGTATTATAGGTCATCACTATTAACTATACTATTGCTTTTTTAATTGAAATAGACATAGCTATTTCAATTATATATGTATATAGATATATGTATATACATATATGTGTGTATATATTAGAGCTCTTTTAGTTACTGTGGCTGCTTTACAAATTACAGTTACTATAAAACAACCATTTATTACATGTGGGTCAGAAATTCAGACAGCCTTGCTGTGATGGCTTTGCCCTGCTCTGTTTTGCATATGGGCCTCAATTGAAAGACTCAAAGGTTGAGAACTAGAATCACCTGAAAACTGCTCACCCTTGGGATGCTGGTTGACCTTGGCTGGAGGCTGGAGGCCTCTCTGAATTTTTCTGTATGAGTTGATTTGTGTTTCCTTGTATCTGGGCTGTTTCCTAGGACAAGTATTCCAAGGGAGAGAAACAGGCAGAAGTATGTTATCACCTTTTCTCTCCTAGCTTAGAAGTCATGGATATCAGTTTGGGTGTATTGTATTTATGGAGGCAGTAACAAAGCTGCATCCAATTCAAGGGAAGTGGAAATGAATTCAGCCACTTGATGGAAAGAAGCCAGGTTCTCTGAGACATGGTAGTACTGATACTCTGTGCTGGATTGTTTTAATTGTCAACTTGACACACCTGAGAACCGGGACGCTCGGTTGTGTCATTTCCTCTATCTGATTGGCCTGTGACATGACTGAAGCATTTTCCTTTTTTTTTTTTTCCTTTCTCTTTTAAAAAATATTTGAATTTTGTGTATGAGTGTATTGCCTGCATGTATGTAAGTGAACCATGTGTATGCAATGCCTGTGGAGGTCAGAAAGGACATTGGATCCCTCTGGAGCTGGAGTCACAGTTGTTAGCCACCATGTGGGTGCTGGGAACCGAACCTGGGTCCTCTGCAAGAGCAGCCAGTGCTCTTAACCACTGAGCCGTTTCTTTAGCCCCGCTGTTTTGTTGTTTTGTTTAGTTTTTGTCTTTTTAAGACAGGACTCCCTGGATTCTCTATGTAGACCAGATTGCCTGGATCTCAGAGAGAGATCCTCATGTTTCTGCCTCCAGAGTGCTGGGGTTAAAGGCATGGGTTAAAACCACCATGCCTAGCTGAGGCATTTTCTTGATTGATGAGTGATATGAGAGGGCTCAGTACACTGGGTGATGCCACCTCTAGGCAGGTCGTCCTGGGCTATATAAGAAAGCAGTCAGCACAGGCCAGAGGAGCAAGCTAGGAAGCATGGCTCCTCCATGTCTCCATGTTCCTGTCTCCAAGTTCATGCCTTTCTCAAGTTCCTGTCTTGGCTCACCCCAGTGATGGACTGTCACTTGGAAGAGTAAGATGCAAGAAACCTTTTCCTCCAAAAGTTGCTTTTGATCAGTTTTTTATCACAGCAATAGAAAGTTTGCTAGGATAATTGTGGTCTTTTTGGAAATTTCAAGTTTCCATAGGCATTTAAATTGAAAGGCTTCCTAAACCAGGCTGCTTAGGTACACCTGTAAGTTCAGTACTCTGAAGGCAGAGGCAGGAGAAATGCCAGAAGTTGAAGGCCAGCCTAGCCTACATATGGAGTTCCAGGTGGATGGGGCAAACAGGCAGGACCCTAATAGCATCCTGTCTCTAAACAAAAACAAAATCTTAAAAACATGTATGGTGGGCTCTGTAGAGATGGCTTAGTGGTTAAGAACTCTGATTCTTGCAGGAGACCCGGGTTCGAATCCCAGCACCCGCATGGCAGCTAGCAACTGTCCATAACTCCAGCCCCAGAGGATCCGACAGCCTCTTCTGACCTCCACGGGCATTACACCACATGGGTGCACTTACCTACATGCAGACAATATACGTATACACATAAAAGAAAAATAAATTATTTTTAAATGCATCTTATTTTTCCCATGCATAAGTATCATCTAATCTTGTTTATGTTCTTTAAAAAACACAAAATCTCCAAATCCAGGTTTTGTGGCAAACACATGTAATTTTAGCATTTGGAAGGCTGAGGCAGGAAGACAAAATGTTAAAAACTAGTCTCTACTGCATAGTGAGTTCAAGGTAAGCCTGGGTGACATGGTGAGACCGTGCCTCAAGAAAAAAATACAGTAATACCACCACAGCAATCATATTTCTAAACATGCACATATTATTTAAAGATACACATTTACCAGGTTGGTGGTAGCTGACCACCTAAAGCATATCACGCAGAAGCCTGAGGGGAGAGAATTGTGAGTCTGCAACTGCAGTAGGAGTTTATCACACAAAAAGGTACATATACGTCGATACACATGTTTTTCCAAACACATAGTTCATAACCTGGAATTTGGCCCAGGAAATAATCTGTTCAAATCATAAAGGAAAGACACACAAATGGCCCCATACCTTCTGCAAAAAAGTGTTTGAGGGAAATGTTCACTTAGTAAAATGTATTTCTGTCGTTCACTTTATAACTGTCTCCTGAAAAGCATATGACAAACTGTAACAAAAGGGGCAACTAGTCTTCATGTTTTCCATATGTAAGTTCACAATGAACTGAACTTGACACTGAGAGACTGATTGGAAGTCATCTCAAAGTTTTCAAAAAATTCAGAATTATGGGCCATTGACATGGTCCATCAGGTGAAGGCACTTGCCATCAAGAGTAATGACCTGAGTTATACCAGGGACCTACATAGTGGAAGGAAACTAATTCCCCCTAATTGTCCTCTGACCTCCACTTGGGGGCTGTGGCATGTATGCTCCCACATACAATAAATGTTAAAATTTTTAATTCAGAATCATGAAGACCTCAATAAAGTCATGGACTCTGTATTCCTGTTATGTAACACATAGAAGGAGTCTTGGGAAGCTTTTCGAAGAAAGATGTCTTGTACTGACCGAACTGACCCCATTTTGGATAAAGTGGCCATCTTAGAAGCTTAGCCGTAGTGTATTTCTAGCTCAAGGATTGTTTTCAGAAACCCTGACCCCCTTCTCCCTTTTCCTCCCCAGAGAATGCTGCCACGGTCACTTGCTCTCTAGA